AACTTAGTCATCACATTGCTTCCATTAAGAGATGATATTAAAGCTTGATGTAATGGCAACTTGGAATGTCCACAGAATGACACCATACTTGGAGTTGTAGATTTATCCCTGTTTTTATAAAGACATGTCAATAGATTTTATTTTTCCAGAAATGCCAGATGTAATTATAAGCCTAGGATATTCATGATATATGCTACACGAAATAAGAAGAGGCAGAAGAAGCAAAGGGGGAAGACTAGGAAACAGATGAAAGACAGGGTCAGCCATCTCAGTGGTGTGCAAGGGAAGACATGAGTAGAATGTACAATTGTGGTACGCGCAAGCATGCAAGTACATGCCTTGTAGGATTTCATATTGTGTTCCCTTTGTAACCATTTACGTCTCTTCACTTTTAGAAATTTAGTTCTACAATACTCAAGACCAAAGCAGACATCTTTCTCAACCAATTCAGGGGAGAGATCGTGAAACCTTTAAAAAGGCCTATGCAAGGAGTTCTGTCCAGAACCCTGGCAACATAACAATAAGACTACTGGATACATTCTTGGTGTTCTATTGCTTTACAATAGTGCAAGATACACATTACAACGTACTGTGTTGTCTGATCCTTCAGATGTACTTGACGGGTTTCCTTCATGTCTTCACTAAAGAGCTACACATTGGGTAAATCAAATTTGTACTCCTCCTCTTCCGATCATTACTTTATCACTCAATATTCTGCCGCACAGTAAAACAAGGACATTTCCAAAGAAATTAGAACTGTCTTACATTGGATTGGAATAATAATATAAAAGCAAAATGATCTTTAATAGAGTATGTTGATGAAGTCTTTGGAGAACCCTCAATCTAACGTGCTGCAACTACAAAAGGTCTGATCTCGTAGCTAAGTAGAAAAATGGTAACATGATTTTTTCATTTAAAGAACAGCTCTTAAGTGCCTAGATCATCAAACAGGGAAGAAAGCTCAGCTCTAGCGCCTCTCCTTTACAGACCCTGCTCTGGGATCTTGAAGCAAAGCCCTATCTCTCGTGACATGAAAAATTGAACACATGCATTTACAATTTAAAAATAATTTTAAAGGCGGTTACTGTTTTATCTTGTTGAGTCCTCAATTACACTTCCGGGGAAAAAAAATCCTTAAAAACAGACGCAACATGTGTAAAAATGCAGAACAGGACACTTAGCCTCACACTTTGCTGCAGTGCTGACGGGTTGTGCTCACCATCAGGAACTGAATGGGATTGATTTTCTCTTCCAGAGTTGAATGTGCTAAAAAGAAACACAACACATTTCCTTAAAAATGAAGAGAAAATAGTGTGAGTAAATGGTGTTCTCTTAAAATCTGGCTAATGCTAGATGTGGCAACTGGTTTGAACAAAGATCCCATTACACACCTGCTCATGCCTTTTTTTAAATAGAAAATTGTGTGAAATCATGTTTTTATGAAGCTAAGCAGGTGTGAGTGTGGTCAGTACCTGGATGCGAAACCACCTGGGAAAAACTAATGTGGCTTCAGAAAGAGGTGAAGGGCGCTCGCCCTGTGGTTTGTGGGGGTCCTAATCCCCTAGCGTAGTGACGGGGATACCATGTCAAAAAGGCACCATCCTTCGGATGAAACGTAAAACCTAGGTCCTGACTTTGTGTGGTTATTAAAAATCCCAGGACATTTCTCGAATAGAGTAGGGGTGTTATCACTGTGTACTGGCCAAATTTCCCCCTGGCCTTTACCAAGGTCTCCTAATAATCCCCATCTATGGATCGGCTTCATCACTCTGTTCTCCTCTCCTCTGAGAGCTGGTGTGTGATGAGCGTACTGGTGCAGTTTGGCTGCCGTCACATCACCCCGGTGGTGGTGGAGGGGATCCCCATTACCTATAAAGCGCTTTGAGTGGAGTGTCCAGAAAAGCGCTATATGAGTGTAAGCAGTTATTATTATTATTGTATTATTATTATTTATTAGCTAGTGGGAGGTACTGTATACAGTCAGTTTTAGATACTGTACTAATCTGACAATAGGTTCATCGGAGTGGAAATGTTTCAAAAACAGAGTAGCATGTGATTGTTACTTTGAAAAATTAAATGTAATGTATTTTTTTGTGTGTGGCCATGTTATCGACAGGGATGGCTTGAAAATACAGCAAAGGTTCTGTTGCACTGATGTTAAACCATTATGCATGTCACAGTTAAGCACTCTTGATATCTCCCCTCATACATCTGTTCTGTCCTGTTCACATTCAGCTTCAACACCTTGTGATTTGCAAATTAAGGACTCTGCACAAGCATCCATTAATCCCAGTATTAAACATACCAAGAGACTGTACCTGTCCATGCTTGCAAAATTACCTTAAAAATATAAAGCCTTCATTAAAATAAAAATCTATACCCTATATATCTATTGAAGAAACCAAGGGACGCATTTGCAAATCAGTACATCATGGTGCTTAGTAATGCAATGCAACTAGCAAATAATCTTCTGCTTATTGAATCTGGTTTTGCCGTAAATCATTTTTATCACCTTAGCATTTACTGAAGTGTATTTGATTAAGCTTTTGCTTTTATATGATTCTTCTGTTCTTCGGAGTTAAGACTAGCATTTGTTTTGTTCATTTTCTGAAGTATATGACAAGCTTTGTTAGCCAGACACCATTTCATTTATTAACTGGGCTTTTCCTTTTATGTTATTTCCCCCTTCAGCACTAACTGAGATCCCATGCAATGAAAGCATTAAGCAGAGGAAATAAACAATGTGACATTTTTGAACATTTCACTAAAAGCAGATAATTTGGGGCAGTACAGTACTTCATATTAACTACCTGTGGTATGTTTGACCCGCTAGATTCTAGTTACAAGCAGGACAACCACACGTGTTGCATTAGTTTCAATGGCTTATGCAGTAATTATCAAATTTAAGCTTTTAAATGAATGTATAGATCAAACAAAATAATCTTTCAGTAAATCTGAAAAAGAACGGTATTATGAAAAAGAACAATAAGTTGTTTAATTATTACAGGCCAACATAATTATAAGAAAAAGCATTAAAAAAGTATTTCTTTGCTCTTCTTTAGCATTGCTTAGAAGAAGTTGGCGAAGAGTAAAAGATGTTATGTTGGATTATTTGAATATTTTATAGCATATGTGTATATTTACACATTCGTATCTGTTCAGTATACTGTATTGTCCCAACCTATCCTTTATATACAAGGCATCGATGCAAGTATCTTTTGTGTATGTGAGGGCGAGACATTTTCTCAGCTGTAATTAGTGCAGAGTCTGGTTTCTCTTTTGCGATTTATGCTGAGTATCTCTGCCCCCTCCCTGTGTTCCCTCAAGCTCTTCCGTGTGTGGACTGTTGTCCCTCTGTAGCTCATCGGTAGCTCCAAGTGGTCCGTCTTTCTTATCACATTTAGCACTCAGGCGACAAAAAAGCTCAGCGCCTTTTCACCCGCGTGGAGTCCTCCGAGGGAAGGCATCCTTTCAGAGTGCTAATGGCTACAGAGAAGGACTGTTTTCGTTTTAATTATGTGTTTTACTCAAGGGCCCTTTTTTCCCTTTTTCCCCATAATTGACAGCCAGTGCCAGTAAATGGGTATATTTTCATGCCCTCATTTTTACCACGACCTATAAAACGAAACTTGTGTGGATGCCGTGCCATGAGAGACGGCCTGTCTAGGTAAACAATCCCCTAGTGTGTTATGCTATACTCTGGTTTTTCTAATAGACGGCGTAAGGGCCGATTTACTGCTTTGCTCCATTTTTGCTATAAAGCAGTTTTTATGTGCTTTGAAATGAAGCCCAAGAGGCTTGGCAGGGATGGTCGCTTGGAAGCAGCACTGAGGAAGCTACTAAGGACATAAATCGTAACTTGGACGGCTCTCCGAGTTCCCAAGTGTCAGACATTGTTCTCCAGACTTCTGGGCTCAGATGTTTGGATCACATCCTTTCTTGTCTTTTGTAAACTGTGTCTGGAAAATGACACCTGCTGAGCTCCTGTTGTCTCTTTGGTGTGTCTGGTGGAAAATGCGGTATTTGAAGTTCCTTTATGTGCTAAGGCCCTTCTGCAGAAAGTTAAGTATAAGACTACAGAGCCTCTCTCTACTACCTAGACTAAGGCTGCCTACTCGGATAGAGTCTGGTAATAAAGCTCTGCTCAACACAGAAGATAAAGTGAAATATTTCTCTTGAGTCATTTTTATCTGTGTGTTTTTCCTTGTACTGTATTCTGAAAGACCTATGATGTAAAATGACACAAAGAATCTTTTTCACTGGAATGGTGGAATAACATGTCCTGTATGTAGAAATAAAGTTAAAATAGCCATTTCATTGTCATCCTATTAAAGTTATTACGGGGCCCGTGGTATTGTATGCAACATAATGAAATGTCACAGGAGAGTGAATTTAATTGATTGAAACCACTGGCGGTTTGTTAATTAAAATTAGGTCCCCGTTTAAAATGGGAGCCCACCTTTATAACTGCGGATGTATTTCATTCTTTTAAGACATGGAAAACTATTCAGACCTTTTCTGCCATGTTAATAAAAGGCAATAGCGATTTGATGATTTAATGTATAACTAAAGTAACTTAATCTTTATACTACATTTATTAAAAGAACATAGGAACATTAGCATTTGCTTGGCTTACATTATTATTATTGAAGAGGCTTCAGTTTAGTGTGTATAATCTCATTATGTTAAAATACGTGTATTGATCTGTGTCAAATTGATGTGTGGACTACAGTATGTATAACATGTGACATGATTATCAAATTGATATTACATTTCAATTCTGTAAGTATATACAATTAAAAAATTAAATGGTGCTAAAAAGTCAAGAGTGTTGAAGTTCATTGTGCGGTTGTTCTCAGGTGGAAGTCGTTCAGTGTGGCTGGAAACATTTGTGAAGCTGGAAAAGGGATGATCTAAGCAAGAATGAATGTGGCAGAGAGGGGCTTGCTTTCAAAGTGGGACCTCTGAGCTTGTTGACAGTCCCGTTTGTGTTTCCCTAGTTGAAGCCGGGACAGAACAACTGCAAGGACAGCGACAGTGAGAGCGTCAGCGGAGATTCCAAGCGTTCCCTGTGGAGCAGCCCCCGGGAGAGGCTCAGTGACGTAAGTGCAGCGTCTTCTAATCCCAACCGGTGCCCGCAGCTGACCCGGAGAAGATGAAGGATCTCAACCTGGCCGCCGCGCACAAATTCCAAGCACGCTGCTGGCGTGTGGCTCTTCATTTGACAAGGCTGCGCAGTGAAAACTTGCCTTGGGGCCCCGAGTGTGAATTTTGTCATTCTTTTAATTGGGTTGGTCGACGTTTTTGATTTATTCCTGGGTAAAGGCATGCATCCAAAGAGCATCTTTCAATGTTTCTGTCCATCTAGGCATTTATGAAGTCTCAGTTCAGCATCGTCCTGGGTTGATTGGAAGTTAGTTTCTCATTTCCCATTTTTGTCACCAGTACTGGACCTGTCTTACTGTATGTGCAGAGGTGTCGCTGGCCAATGGGGCAGTTGTTGCAGTGCATGACCTTTGATTTTTAGTGGCTGGAACATAGTGGAGTAATGGCGAGTTTTGATTGAACAAGGCATTAGTGACAGAACGCAGATCGTAACTGGAAAATACTTCTGAGCAGAGCGTGAAAGAATTTTTAGAATTTTTTCAGTCTAGTTTGTTTTTGATAACACAGTTCCTTCGGGCCTGTGCCTTGGACAGTTCGCAGTCCACTTAAAAGACTAATCCATAGTTGTCGTCAATTGATTTCAGTCCCAACGCAGTGAGAGTGCTAGTACCCACTCCCTGGGCCCTGCTCTCTAAATCACTGCTGCTCCAGTAAGCCACCCATCTTTCTAGGTACGGGACCCCGGGTTAGTACATCCTGGGTGACCCCAGCAGCAAGGATATTATAGATTCTGCAAATCTGAAGGACTACCTAGAGAAAGTACTGCAAGCATGGAAACTGTAAAAGTTACATTTTGATTATTGTGTTGATTTAAAAAAATGCTTTAAGCTGCATAATGGGTTAAATGTTATGCTGAGTTTTTGTGAGTTCTTGAGTAAATTGAAGCTTTTTATGTAATTATTTGCAGTATTGCATAAGTATGCTTATGGGTATATTTCAGGCAGAACATTAGTGAGTATTACCCTGAATGGAACAAAGTAATTGGGGAGAGATTAGAACCAAGAAAAGTCTTTATAAGGAAGGATTTTCTTTCTTGCTTAAAGAGTGTCTTTATTTTGTTGTTGTATTCGTTAATGAAGCACAAAGGTATAACAAATTCTTCCATATTTTTTTAACAAGGCAGAATCTGATCATCAACATCAGACAGTAGTAGTTATTCGGACATGTTTTTAAATCTAAAGTGTCAATCAGGACACTTATTGCTTCGTACTATTTTATTTTCTTGTATGAATCCATATCTTTATCTTTGTATTCAAGAAAAAAAATGGTGTGGACCATAAAGAATGTATAATTTCTTTCTTCTTATAAGAATTTTTTTTTTGTTTCCAAACCAGGGAGCAGTTTGAAAAGGAGACTCTACAAGATTTAGTATATTTTAAAACATATACTACAGGAAAGTTTTTTTTTTTGCCAACTTCTACCTAGTATTCTTATTGTTCATGTTGTATGAAGATGAGTTTACAAATTTCAGGATATCTCAAACAATTCTTAAGACAATATAACATGTAAGGTTTAACTGGTGCAAATTAATTTATCCTGTCGCTGTGTCACTTGCTTGGTGTTTAAAATTCAGTCAGTATTTTTTACTTTATATTTGTCCAATTTGGTATTGCTGGCTGTTTGAGAATTGGCTCTTGGGCATCAACTCCCGTACTCAGTGGAGAGAGAACGCAGCGTGGGGACATGTTTCTGTGACGCCCACCTACAGAAAGAGCTGTCATTAGATATGCTGCAAGCTTCACTATGCCTGCGATGAGCACTAATGCCAGTTGTAGGACTGGCAGCCCTGTCTCTAAAGTCACTACCAGTGTGCAGGGGCCCTACCAGGTTTAGGAACTGGTGTCTGTCTGAAACACCAGGGGAGTCTGTTTGACTAATTTCACCCTACCCTGTGGTCAATCAGCTAATTGTGTGTCTCTGCTGGGGGGAATCCTGCTCACAGTCAGCTAATGGCATGACCCAGGCTGGAGCTGGTGAAACAGGTCTGTAAGACCAGCCCGAGCCCTGAGTGAGCTCCTTTATTGTTTAAGCTACCGAGGAGCTCTGATGATTAAAACTGACAAAAAAGCGTTCTGCCCTATGATGAGAGAAATTAAAAGAAGAAGCTAAAAGACATGTTCACTATGCTGTGTCTACAGAATATTCTTCACTATGGTGTTTTTTTAACATAAGTCTGCAGGACGTCATTGAAATGAATGTATTTTTATCTGCCTTTAATGTCTTGAGAATGATACCATGTCCTTGTGTCAGTACTCTGATGGCTGGTTGATGGTGCAGATTAAGCATTTACAGATTAATTACAGAGGCCGATTTGTGTCAATTTTAAATGCTGCTTATAAGTTTTAAAAAAAAACCTGATGAAGTCTCTTTATCAGTCGCAGGTTTAAAGATTTTGTCTGCCTCCTGACATGTGCAGTGTACTGAATTGAAAAAAGACAATGGTCTGCATGAACCCTGACAAGCCGAACTGCCTCCACATTTTGCATTGTGTACAGAGTCTTGAGAGGAGCAATCAAATTTCTCTCCTAATTAAAGCTGTCAGTTGGAAGGCGAGCCAATCGCCGAAAAAACACTGCATAACAAATGAAGCAAAATGATTCTGTGTGTAGCTATAGGACGCTTCACCAGGCGTGAAATTAAATAAGTAATTTGATGTTGACATCAGAAATTGAAATGATACCCACTGCTCTTCATCCCAACAAACCTGCATAGACAGTAACCAAGATAAACATGAAACAGTGAATCCCCCAGAATAATGTACAATAGCTGTGTCAAACCAACATAAGTGCCCCAGCTCTGACCCAGAAAATGTAATTTCCTTCACTGCAAAGTACACAAACAGGTATGTTAGGGGCTGTGATTAAAGAAGATTAAAACTGCAGGCCCATGTGATGTCATGTAGTTTTCAACAAGTGTTACTAAGGTTTACATCTTTTGGCATTTAAGGCGCACATTCAAAAGAGTGAAGCTTGGGTCACGAGCTCTGTTGAAATGTATCTAAGATAATCCGACCATCATTATGCTTAAAACTGGTTCGGTTTAGATAGGTACAAAGAAGATCATATTAATGTTTTGGAATAATCATTTCACAGGAATTTCCCAGAAATATTAACTGCAGTTTGTAGTATGAAGAAACCTGTAAAAATAGAATCGAATGTCAGCATCTTAACTGTAGATTTCACGTTTGTAAAAGATAGTTTCCCCAGTATTTGCTTGAATTAATTCAGTTTGGTTATAGGTTCTCAGGAATGAACTTTCCTTTGTTTTCCTTATAGGAATATTTACAACCTTTTCACTGCAGGAGGTCTTTGATTGGGCGAGCGGAGAGATCTTATATCTAAAGGCTGTTTTTACACAGTGTTGCAGTAAAGAGTTCAGTGTGATGCTAAAGAGGACTATTAGCAGCCCAACACTGCGCACAATACAACATTGAAGACTGCATTAAAAAATACTTAACACGTTAGAGATAGGTGTCAGTTTTCAATTTGAAGCGAAATCCCCTGTCCTGGCGGATGGACTGTGACCCCCAGGGTGGTGTGGGCGCCAAACTAGTGAAAATAATTTTCAGCCATTTAAAAAAAGAGCGTGACCCCATTTGCACTGCATGTCTTATAAAATGATGCTTTCTCCTCCATGGACAATGCAGAGAAATCAGAAGCACACTTCCAAGCGAAGGTAACAATCTCTGAATGCTTGGACAGGAAAATAATAGAGTAGCCAGACCTGTTCAGAATCAATTTCAAATTTAAAAAAAGAGAGAAACTGGGGAAGATATATGGACAAAAAAAATCATATCTTTGTGTGAGTGTAGTTGTTTAATGGGCAGGAGAAGTCTAATTTCATTTTGCTGTCCTTTATGTAAACCTCTTTTCATGGGATAAAGAGAATTGTTTGTGGTAACAGGGAGCATGCTACACGAGGCAGATCACTATACAACTACAACACTCAGTCCAGTCAGGTGAAGAAGTATTTATCCAGTATTGTAGCACTTTACAAGGCCCCACCTCGTGTGGATGAGATGACCCTTTCTCCTGCTACACGATGGCAGGGAAGGTTGTCAAGATCTACAATAGGTCTGCGCACTGGTAGGACACAGTAATGAGCAATCCCAGCCATTTGTTAGACATGAACAGAGTGCTAATGATGTTTTCTAAATGTTTCCCTTCCATCCTCGGCCTTTGACACTTCAGGACTACAACAGGCAAGCCCTTATCGTCCCCTTTCCTCCTGTGACTGAGAGGGGAGCAGGGAGCCCCAAAACTTATCCCAACCTTTCCATCTCCCTTAAGAGTTTTTTTTTTCCAGCCCACTAATTAAGTTTACAAATTGCCTCATTTTTCTTTGCCAACCTGCTCCGGATCTTTGGAAGCGGAATAAATTGGCAGTCGTGCTGTATGGATAAAAGTCAGAAGTGTCCTTTTCAAGAGTGTTTGAAGGTGGTGCTCTCTTCTCCCTCACATGCCCCTCTGTAAGCACCAAAACGCAGGTGGCAGGAGACCTGGGCACTGAATGTCAGCGAGCTGGGGAAGCTGGAATGAATCAGCTGTGTTTAGTCCCTTCAGCAGGGTAAAATGCCATCATTATCCAGCTGCCTATCAAATAAATTGGCAATTATAGGCTTGAAATTCAGTAAATAGCACGTTACCTTCCTAGAGTTGATGAGAGACACACTAACCGCCCAAGAGTGTTTGGTGTCAGAGCCGCCCGTCAGCATCAGGCTAGTGATGAAAAACATGAAGAGAGCTGATAATGAACACGCCAAGATGGAAAAATAATAAATATGATCACTAATTTCCCACCATCTCCCTTGTGTTCTCTTACAGAGCTCCGCTTCTTCCAGCTTGGGTACAGGCTACTTTGTAAGTATGCTAAACATGCAGCAGCCTATTAGTCACAGAAAAAAAAGCACACTGCTAACTGCATTCCCAGGGGATTTTGATAGATGTGTCATGCGTGCTTCCGTAGGAAGTGTGGTATGGGGAATAAGATCACCCACAGCAAAATGCAAAGGAATCATTTATTTAATTGGGAATCACAATTGTTGTGAAAGTGCTGTTTTAGTTCCATGTACTGTGTGTTTGCAAGCTTGAGCTGACAAATTATCCAAGAATATACAAATGTAGAAAATATTATATATAGGTATTATGTTGCACACAAGGTGGGAGAGGTACCTACTGTACCATAGATGAGAAAAGACACATTCATGGTCTGTTAGAATACTTACATAACAGACTAGCTCACATTATGAAACTTGGAAGTGAAATGTTGCATTATGAAGGTGAGCTGCCATAAAACATTGGAGCAGAAGCATATTTGAAAGCAGTAAAAATAGCACAATCTTTCATTTCTTTATTCCTTACATTGAGAAGGCATTCAGGAAATGAAGGAGTGAAAAAAAGCTGTTCTCCTTCAGGGCCACTTCAATAAATAGTCTTGTTGTAACTGGAAAACTTTTCACATTCAGTAAGACCAAGGCAGAAACATTCCGGGAATTCGGTTATGGCCTATAATTGAAGTACCCACCTTGTCTTGTTTCATTATAGCTTTGACCTCAGCACAGTTATCTGTGGGTTGTAATTACCACTTCACTGTGTGCATGAAATTTGTTCTACATGTTGTAAAGCAATTTGAGTTCTCGATTACTGCCATTAAAGCAGTTTCATACTGTGTGTAATATTATTTTCGCGTTTAAGAGCGTCATTTGATTAAGTTGCAGTTAAAAGATTAAATTACCGATGTTTATTCTTTTTAAGGACAAATCGCCAAATGTATATAATTTTTATTCACTTAAAAGTTCCCAACCGAATTTGTTAGAAAAATGTTGAACAGTGAATAATGTTCAAGGTTTTGTTTTTTTGAAGACCGTAGTGCATACAGTATTATATTCCCACAGTTGGATAAAATGCATGAGTTTTGTTTTAAAAGTATCCTAGAATTGAAATAATTGATGTAATATTAAGGTCAGTGTTCCCTGCAAGTGGAGTTATTCTGGTCAATTTGCTCTGATACACTATGTAAGACGTAATTGCTCTTATCAATAACCTAGTTTCCTTTCTTCACAATTTGAATTTTTCCTTGTTAGCGAGTAGCAAATGAATATAAAATGAAGAAAGTTACACCTATAATTAGCTCATTATCACTGTTTCAGTTTTGAAGAAAAAAAAACACAAGTTTTTTATTTAATAAGCCAGTTCCAAGTTTCTGCTGGCATGTACGCATATATCAATTCCAAATGAGTAAAGTCTTGATTTCCTCACTGATTAATGATAACAGTTTTAATTGCCAGTGCATCCCTTTGACCCTTTGTGATTCCTTTGCTCCAGTTTTGTAAATAGCTCTCTTGTCAAACTTTTTTCGCATTTTCATGTGATTTCCCAAATGTCATCAGCTGCAATTACTGGTGAATGACCAATATCTATTACAATTTACAATGATCTTTGGAACCTGTCCCAATTCTGTTTCCATTTCAAATCAAAACTAATACTGCAGTTTGCAACATACATGCAGGAATAATGCTAGATTGCATGTAATAAGATACGTTAAGAAGATATGCTAAAGAAAACTGATGCATCTTTTGAAAATAATTCCACTGTTTGATGGATGAAATACACTTTTGAAATTTTAGCTCTTGAGGTCTGATGAAGGACTATATTACACCGGTTGTTAGAGATTTTTTTAGGATCTCATCAATTATATAGCTCCTCACTGCTAATGCCAGAGGACAAAATGCTCAAAGTTTAAAATACAATAAATTGAATTAGTTCATTGAGCCAAAGCTCTGTTCTCATGTAATTGGGCAGAGAGCGCGGCCTGCCTCACTAAATTCGAAGACATTTACCTCCCACTGCTTTTCAATTCAAACCTTTGATGAACATATTCCCACTTCTTCTTTAAAGTGGACATCCAGCTGTCTTCCCCGACTAAACTGAGGTGTCAAAAACAGATCCTGACAATTTGTGACACAGCGGTCTAGCTGAATTACTGCTTGTCAGTGTCATCCTGTCATTTCCTGACGCGTAAGTGTCCGTCAGAGAGACATTGCTGCCCCTGTGGAAAATTTTTCGAAGGCACCAGAGAACATTTTGGTAAAAGTTTTAATATGCTTCTGGATGGATCTAATAATAAAAATGTAATATTGTTTTCAAAACCGTACCATAATGGTCCACAGAGGTCCCTAAACCCCTTCCATATTTAAAAGGACGGCAGGATTCTGATTCAATATTTCATTTGTCTCCCATTGATTCAGAATTTAATTATCTCTTTATATCATAAAAGACATAACAGAAGCTGCTGTTCCCATTGTATGTGTTGCATCTTTTAGCTGCTGCCTCTTCATTGTTTTTCTCTGTATCACATAAGGGGTGAAAAAGAAGTCCTGTTGTTTTGTCTTCATGGTTTTGTGCAGTATCTGAAAGAAATATTTAGCCTATAGATTGCTTCTAGGATTTCAGGATAGAGTTGCTTAAGAAAGTTTCGGAACTGGAGGAAATCCTGTAGCGCATTTTGTTTGTTGCTAGTCTGGTGATCCAAAAGTCCACTGATGTTGCACCTTTGATGCGTCTTCATAAAACATGTCCCACAGCATGGCTACCTTACTTTAATTTTCACGCACCAAAAGATCTATGCAGTAAAGAAGCATCTCTTATTCTCAGAACCAGGCCTGCCATATTTAATTGTCTTTCTTGACCTGTTTCCGGTTTCTCTATGTTGTGGTTGAAGGGGTTGGTCCGGTTGTCTTTTCTTCTCTCCTCCACGGGTTTTTTACGGGATCTCTTCTGCGAAGGGAATCCTACCTAATTTTTGCACTCCTTGTCCCGCAACACCACCACATTTCTCGTTGAATAACTTGAAGATTTGGAATGCGGTTCATCCTAAGGAATCAAATATTGCTCCACGTTTGGTTGCTGTAGCAAGGACAGCATGTGGTTGCCGCGGCAACCGGAGAGCATGTAGGAACTAGTTATTTGGAGGCTGACAGATTCGTTCTTCACAGTGGGCAGACAGCACTACCCGATGGGAATGACATCTTCCCCTCACACACCTCACACGTACTCCCCCACCAAAAAAAAAAAAAATACCATCCTAGCAGGAGCATGTCCTTCAACTACAATGCCTTCACAGGGATGCACTTAGTCCCAGGCTGTGTACCAGACAAAATGCAATCCTGCTCTCCAGGAGCTCATCACTGGCTCAGTGTTACAAGGATGATTACCCACAACCTCTGGCTGAGTATCATTTCTTCTTCGGGCCCAACAAATCCTCATGACCAGTTTTTTTTTTAACTTGAATTCTGAAAAGATTCGACGTTTCATTCCTTGTCTTTCAGTAAAACAGTAATATTTAGTGCTGTAATATATAGTAAACCTAAATAATGTTGTTTCTAAAATGCAAAAAATCGTTATAAGGTATCATAGGTAGCATAGGTTGTGCAGGAGACATTTCACCGCAGAAATATTTCAATGTGATCTGCTTGCAGAGCTCACAAGTAAGTAGTATTTGTCAACAAAATTGTCTCAAAATCAAGAGTAATATTTCTGTTGGATTCAAAGAGATGTATTCACAAGCCTGCTCATTTGCAATGTCATAGAGCTGCTTCACCTCACTACATGTTTTTGTTGCCTCGTTCTGAATCGCAAAACATGGCACTGCGCATACCTGGAAATGGTCTATTTTGTGTTGGAAATCAGATTTTACACCTTACTGTGCTTATTTTACTTTCATTGTGGTTTGAAATGCATTTATTAATGCAGATTCTTTGTAACCTCGAAATCTAAAAATAGCTTTGCAGTTCCCCTTTGCAGACAGGGCAGGGCTGCACCCTGGATGGGATGCCAGTCGATTGCAGGGTACATACATATAGGGGGCAATTTAGAGATACCAGTTTGATAGCTTGGGCAGCATGTCTTTGGACTGTGGGAAGTAACTAGAGTACACAGAGAAAACTTATGCGAACACAGGAAGAACATGCAAACTCCACACGGACAGAGCCAGGTTTGAATTCAGGGCCCCGTTTCTCTGAAGCAAAAGCCATATAAATGGCATAAATAAAAGGACAAAATGGGCATCTTTCACCAGTCTTAACTCAATTTTTTTAAATCATTTTTGTCAATTTTAAACTATGCTAAGTGAATTAATTAAATCCACCAGTGATATTTGATTCTACAAACAGTTTTGTGAACACGTGCAAAATTGCAAACTGTAAGGGTTAATATAATGTTTATTTTTTGTAGAAGTCTTGAAAAGGTTTCCGTTTTATCGTAAAACATGATACAGGAAGTTGCTTTCTCTTTTGAAAGGACATGTACTTATTTAAAGCATGTGCATCTGACAGGATTATTGTGTAAGGCTTAGATGTCACATCACTTATATTTCAGAGCTCAGTGCAATTTTTCTAAACCGCGAGGCAACATCCAAAAAACATGGCTCGGAATTAGAGTTTCAGAAGATTATTATATAGACTTTATTTCCCTCAGGTCATGAGCTTTAGTCAAATTTGGAAGGAGAATAAAATTGCCAACAGTGAAAAGCAGACAGAAAGGTATGAGTTCATGAGCAGAGAAATAACATTTTCATTTGTTCTTTCCCCATGGGAAAAATTCAGCATTCCGGTAAATGGAGACAGTTATAAGAAATGAATTTTTGTCAGTGGGGATGTGGTTTTAAGGCTCACTTATCCATTGGCAATCTAGATTTCAAACCCCAGGAATCGGAGAAATTGCTACAGAATTTAGTCTTTATGACATACAAGTATTTTGTCTGCAGTATTTCTCAAGGATTGTGTCAGCTCAGTTTACCTCATTTGTTTTTTTCACCGAATGTTATGTTTACAGTGTTTGTAATTTATTTACATTGTAATCTG